ATGATGAAAGAATCTGGGGTGGCTCCCAGGTTTTGCACAAGGGCTCTCCGTGACAGTTGGCCCAAAATTAGCACCACCCTTCCTGAGCATTTTGATGATGACATGCTGCTCTTTCACTAAAGCCACTGAAATACTGCAATCCATCGTAGAACTGGCAGTAATTTTTTAAAAAAAAACCCAAAGCCCTTCAGTTCCTAGGCTGTGTTGTCCTGAAGATGCTTCAGTGGACAGTTGTTGTTTCCCACACCAGCATGTGAGCCAGGCAGTGACTGCCCAAGAGGAAGTGAGATGTGGTGTCCAAAGTCCTTTCTCAGCAACCGGGCACAGCCTCCCTCATTGCCCATAAGTCGGATTCCATGCACACAATCCTATCCGCCTGTGCAACACGCTCAGCCTCGCCCAGCTGGTGACCTCACCCAACCGCTGCCAGCTGCTTCATAAGTGCTCCCAGAGCGGCCCTCTTGAGCTGGAGGACACCAGAGTAGCTCCAGATCACCTGCAGTTGCTACCAAGAAATTGGGCAGGATGGATGCCAGGGAGGAGACCAAGAAGCAGGAAATCTTTAATCAGGTAGGTTTTTACCTTTGGGGCTTTAAGAAGAGAAGAGATCTTTCCTATTTTTTTCCACAATCAGCTAGACTTCAACTTCAATATCAAACTTGCTTACAGTGATTATCTGCCCTCAAGTTGGTGCTGGTGCTTAGCAACCACACGGAAAGATTTTCTTTGTGATGATGATCCCTAAACTGCTTTCAGCTCTTCCAAGAGAGCCTCCATCACCACAGAGCCTCCACCTGGCTGCTGGTCATCCTCTTCTTCTCTTTGCCTCCCCCTTTCCAAGCTTTCTCTGGAGAGCTGGGTCTCTGCTCAAAGTAGGATAATGTAGCCAGGCCATTTGGGCCACAAGGGAAAACTCTGGGCTGATTGGTACGATGAATCCTGGGTTGGTTTTCTTGGTCATCGTTCTCAGTATTCTCAGTGCTCTTCTGCAATGCAAACAGTGTCCGTATGATTTTTTTTTCCTGCTTCAAGGTCCAACTTTGGCTTTCATGGTGCAGCACGGAGAACACCATGACCTGCATGATTCTGATCTTTGTAGGGATGGAATCCCTAGTATCCCAGCATGATTTACGTAGTTTGCTTAGCTAGTATTCTATGACTATCTCTAAATGTGGCATCTTATGATTTATGATGAAGGGTTGTATTTTATGATTTATGATGAATGTATTTTCATATGATCATCACTATTACTTGTATGTACACTGAGAGCTTCTGCACCAGAGACAAATTCCTTGTGTGTCCAACCACACTTGCCCAATAAAGAATTATTCTATTCTATTCTATTCCTATTCTATATACATGTAGCGGGGCTGGCCGAAAGGCTTTGCGGGAGCCTGGCTGGAGAGAGGGAAGTGGGAGGCTAGAGCAGCTGCTGCCGAGATTTGGGCGCGGCAGGCGTGGATCGGGAGGAAGGAAAGAAAGGGTGGGTGTCGGCCTCAGCCTCTCCTCAGAGGGGCTTCAGCTGTTGGCTGAGATTGTGGCCCTGGGTTTGGCTGGAGGGCGCCGGATCAGCCTCAGGTTTCTCCCCCTGCACTGCGCAATCCGGCACTTCTGTTTTTGCTTGAAACACTTCCCTTACACAGAAGTTACGTAACAGAATTCCAGTTTTGCGATATGCAACGGTAATGGAAGAAATGTTGCAATCAGGGATGCTGTGTGTGAAAGCACTCCAGCACTGATTACAACAGATGTGTTATTAAATACTGTAGGGCCTCACCCACACCCTTCCCCCCCCCCAAACCTGCTTGCAAAATGCAGCCTGAGGACAGGTTGTGTGGTGGTATGTAGAAAATGTGTTTTGCCAGTTAACTGGAAGCTGGATAGGTTAAATCCATACATGTTTTAAAGGGGAAGAAGATTTCACTGGGGCTGGGTCTTCCTTGTACAACTCGGTGGCAGCAAGTGGATTTGAGCAACATCTTGATGGAGGTTTCTAATTATTGGCTTCCTCTGCCTTACTCAGCTTTCTAAATATGCTGGATTACAATTCCCATCAGTTATACAGGTTAGAAAGATAGGTATTAATAATGGGAGATGTTAATTATCCAAAAGGCTTGTAATTCAAAATTATAAAAAAAAAATTCCCCGTAACACAATCATATATAATTCCATTAAATTAAATTCATGTCACCAGTTCTTGCTCCTGGTTTTCAATGGCGTAAAATTATCCTCCACTCTGTGTGTGCATCTTGTTGTCAACCAGGTGGTAATAACCGATGGACATCCTGCCACCTTCCACGTCTGTGACCTCAGCCTTATGAGTGTAAATTGTTGGGAATTGGTATGGGATTCCCCCCCTTGGGAAATGAGTTAAATGGCATCTGGTTTGATTTAAAAGGTACAATTCTGTCTCCATTTCTAGGACTTTCTTTTCCTTAGCACATTCGTCTGTGTCACCTTCTTTCTTCTTCTGCTCCCCTCTGGAAAGGAAGTTTGCAATTCTCCTCAGCAGCGGCTTACCAAATGCCTCCTCTTCCTTTGCGCAGCTCTTTCCCCCCTGGTGGTGCCAAGTCTTCTGTGCCCCAAATATCCCATCCTGAGGAGGAAGAGGTCAGCTGAAGGCAGGAAGGAGCAATGGTTGTAGCGGCTGGCTGGCAGGCTGGCTCAGCTGACCTGAGTTAATATGAGAACTGCGGTTGCTGCCCCCTTCGCCCCCCTCCCCTTCTCCATCTCCAGCCAAGGTTGGCATCCCTTTGGCTGCAGGACACCCAGCTAAGTCCATGCTTATCATCCAACAAGGAGGGAGGATCCTGAGCAATGGGGCACGTGCTACTATTTTGGACTGTCACTGGGTTATGAGAGTGATTGAAACTATGATTTAGATTTTGTAAAGGTATTTGTTCCCTTAATTTCCCTTGGTTTGTGTTTGTTTAGACCGGGAGTGATCAATATTGTCCTTAGGACATGTTTCTTTGTTCACGCAAATGGGTTTCTGTATGTGGTTTGTGTCTGTTTTGTTAGCATTATATTTGTTCCTATCCAGTGGGATCGGTGGGTTTGATTGTTTGTCCCAGGCGTGTCTGCAGTTCCCTGTGCTCAGGATGTTTCTTTTAGCTAACCGGTTCTTGCCCAGGACTGCTCAGGGCAGGGGAAGGAGAAGGAGAGAAGAGAGGGAAAAACCTTTCTTTGGTCTTTTAAATTCGGCTTGGCTTATCCCTGAAATGGTCGTTTTCTTGAGGTGTTCCCCACCCATCCTGGGTCCATCTGCATCTGTGATGGCTAGTCTCTGGGTCTGGGTTTCCTTTGAAATCATTTCCTTTTGAAAAAGATTTAGTTGTGTGGTTTTACTCAAAGGAAATTGCCCTCCTGTTTCAGGGTTTGGACTAGTTCTGATTTCTATTATGTGTTTCCTTTGACTAGCAATGACCAAGGCTTTAAACCCTTGTTCAAGCTGTTAGTGATATTCAGGAGTTAATTTATAGACGGGGACACCAAGCTTTTCTCTCCAAAGTCCCACATCTCTCTGCTAAGCTGTCATGATATTACAATGATGTCTGAATCCAGGCACTGCAGTTATTATTTACATAACTGAATGCATTTAGAGGCAGTTATCTTTTTGCTAAGTTTTAAAAGTCAATTAATACAGACGTTATAGCAATTGGTTTAGTTAGCATTGGATACAGTAACGTCTCGCAAATGGACGTTTACAACGTTAACCACAGTATAACCTTCAAATGCCATACACCAGGGGTAGGCAACCTTGGCTCTTTCATGACTCGTGGATTTCCACTCCCAGAATTCCTGAGCCAGCCCAGTTGAAGTCCCGAGTCAGAAAAGAGCCGAGGTTGCCTGCCCACCCCTGGCATACACTCTTTGGAACAAGGTCCTTCATTAAACTGATCCGGCTGAATGCGGCGCTTTCTCACCCAGGGCGGCGGCCGACTTCCTTTCTCCGGGGGATTTCTTAGTAACGGAGGTTTCGCTTTTAGCAAAGCGGCCAGGATACAAATCCTCTTTCGCGAGATCGTGGCCGGGGGAGCCTCGCGCTTCCCCTCCGGGGCTTCCTTGGGAGGACGAGGGGGGGGGAGAGAACCTGGACGGGCGCTCGCCAAAGGCGGATGGCCCCCCCGGCAAGGAAGGCGAGTCCCTCACGCGTGGAGCCCCCACCGGCGAGGGGCTGTACCCGGCTGCGGTCACCCAGCACCCCCTCCCTCCCGCACACTCGGCAGGCGGCTCGAGGGCCCCTTTCTGAGGAAGCGGCGCCGGGGACGGGACCCCTCGAGGCGGGAGAAGCCTCGCGCCCGCTTCCCCGCACCTGACGAAGGCCGCCGGCCGTGGGGCGCGAGGCGCTCCGGGCGGGGCCGGGCCGCGAGGAGACAGGGAGCACCGCGGAGCCCTCACGCGCCCAGGCAGCCTAGCCCGGCCCGTCCCGTCCGCCCGCCCGCCCGTCCGCCCGCCATCCAGGGCAAGCCGCTCTGCACGCGCCCAGAGGCGGCCTCCGCAGCGGGCCCGCGGGTGGAGGGGGCGGTCCGGCAGGCCGGTCGGGAGAGGCTCCGCACGCATCCCGGCCCCGGCGCTTCCCCCGCAACTAAGTTCCGGAGGCGCTGCTCTCCTCGCGCCGCCGGCCGGCCGGCAAGGAGTAGCCCTCCGGGCAGCCCCCGCCCCGCCCCGCCGGGATGCCCGGGCCCTCGCTAGCGCCGAAATCCCGCGGGCGGCCGGATCCTTCCGCACGTGCTCCGAGACGGGCCGCGAGGCGCGCTGGGGGGGTCAGCCTCCCCTCCCGGCCCCCGGAACAGCCGCTCCCTCCGCCCCCGCCGGCACACACCCTCCGCCCGCGGCCAATGGGCGGCGTCGGGCAGGGCGCGTCACGCGGAAGCCGGCCGGGATGAGGGATTAGCCGGCGCGGCTCGCGAGTCACTTTGTCCGGCCGGCGCCCTCCGAACTCCGCTCCCGCCGGTCGTCGCGCGGCTCCGGGCTCCGGCGGCAGCAGCAGCAGCGCCATGATCGCCTCGCACTTGCTGGCCTACCTGTTCACCGAGCTCCACCACGACCAGGCGCAGCGGGTGAGGCGCGCAGCACGTGGGCCCAGGCCGGGCGCGCCTCCCCTGCTCCCCGCCGGCGCCGCCGACGCCTCCCGCCTCGCGCCCGGGGTGGGGAGGCGGGAAGCTGGGCGGCCCACTCGCCTTGGATGGCGGGGAAAAGCTGGCGCGGGAAGGGGGCTCCGGGGCGCCAGGGGCGCTTTCCGCGGGGCCGGGCGGGCGGCGAACAAAAGCCCGGCGGGCTCCCTCCGAGGGGAGCGAAGCGCTGCGGCTGCCGGGGCTTCTCTTGCGAGCTCCGTGCGAGCGTGGCGGCCGGGCGTGGAGACGGCGCTCAGAGCGGCTCGTTCGGCCGTCGGGTCGCTCGCTCGCTTCTCGTTCGCCTAAAGAAGCGGCGGGAACAAACTGGCCCAGGAAGCCCGCGGAGAGCCCGTCCCGCCCGCGCCCAGACCCCGCGGCCGCTGGCCCTCGCGCCCCGGCAGGGACGACCCGGGCGGGCCTGAAGGGAGGCGGGCCGGAGGACCTGGGGCCGCCGGCGTCTTGCCCGGGAGGCGCCGAGCGGCACCCGCCCCCTGGAAGGGCCCCGGGAGCCCCCCAAGGCTTCCTAGCCGGCCGGGCGGGAGGGTCGCCGGGCGCGCGCCTGCTGCCCGCATTCGCTTTGCTCCCCTGCAACGTGGTGCCCGCGAGCGCCTGGCGCGGAGGTCTTCGAGGAGTTTCGCTGCCTTTCAGCTGCCCTGCAAGGCTCGGGAGGGGGCGGAGCCTGAAGAGGCGAGGATGGGGAGCGGGGGGGCTCGGGGGCGCTGGGGGGGGTCAAGCCACGAGGAGGAGAGTGGGCTGTCCCGCTCATCCCTTCGCAGAAATGCGAAGCTGCTGGGCCAAGCTAGACCTTTGGGTTTGGGAGCCGGAGAGATCAAAGCTAGCAATCCATTTGGCTTTCCTGCGCCCTCCCCCCACCCCGAAGGGCCTCGTCCCTCCCCTCTCTGGGGCAGGGGCAGCTTTTGCTTTCGTCCCCTTATTGCCATCCAGCAAAGCCCCCTGCGCCGCTTCGGGAGTTTGGCGCTGTCTCAGCCCGGAGCCAACAATCAAGGCGGCTCCCTTAGGCATTCATTTCATACCAGACCTTCGCTTTTGTCCTCGAGTTTGAAAAACAACTAGTCACAACGGGGGCCCTGCGATCCCAGCCTATTTGTATGAGAGAGGTCTTGTGGCACAAACCATGTGGGTTCATCTCCATCAAGTTAGTGGCTCCTCTTGATTGCAGAGGGATCTTGTAGCTGTGCAGCCCCCCCACCCACCCCTGGCCCTGGTCAGAAACAATTCCTTGTTAGTTCAGGAATTCTCAGGGGAGAGCCACAACAAAAGCTGTTCTCAGATAGGAGCCATTTCGTGGAGAGGAAACGGGGATGTTTCTCTTCCGGACCTCAGGTGGCAATTTTCTGACCAGAGACACAGGGCTGCCTCCGGTGCCCTGGATGAGGTCCTGACTCCTGTTTACTCCTGTGACAGCCACAGTTTCCCAGGACCTCGGCTTCTTCTCATCTCCCCTCCTTCACTGAGATTTGATTGGGACCCATCCCAGGCGGCCCCCTTGGGGTGGTAGCATCTCCTGGCCCTGGTCCCCATTTCCTTGGAAAGAAGTCAGCGGTCCAGAGATTAAAGCCTTTTAAAACGTTTGCCTATTCTTCCTCCAAAAAGCCTCTTGCAAGACCCTCCTCCTTTTTTGGTGGTAACGGGATTCAAAGATTATCTGGAGGCTCAACAGCCAGGTTGGAGGCTGTGTGGAAAAAGGCAGGGAGGTAAAAGAAATCCTAAACAAAAGTGGGCCCCTTTAGTCCCTTCCCCCACTCTCAGTCAGACTGGCATGGCAGTGGGACAGTGGGGGGGGGGGGCAGAGGATGGCCCAGAGATGCTGGACCCGCCCTCTTCCTACTGCAGCTCTATGATTGGTGGACACTTTGCCCCAGTTAAGGAGGGAGGGCAGCAAAGACAGGAGGAATCCAGCAGGTTTGCTTATTGTGATTGTATGTGGGTGATGGGGGGCAGCTTTTGGAGGTGAGGCTGTGGGGGCAGCGTAGGGATTGGTGGAGAGCTTGAGATGTCAGGGACTAGTTTTTCCAACCTGGGGTGGTGGGGAAGTGTTTAACCTGAGAGTGCAGAAAGATTCCCTGGCAACCTTTTCAGAACTGAGGAAGCTTCCTGGTGGTGGGGGTGAATGAGGAAGGAGAATCTGAGCTGGCAGGCTGGGTCTCCTCCCTTGCTGATGAGATGGCACTGGGAATGCCCCTCTTGGCAGGCTGGCTGTGGGAAAGACCCAGCCCTGAACAGGGATCTTATGAACTGGTTCTCACTAGTTGGGCTGGGAGGATCAGCAAAAGTTTTGTCATGCTTCTCTAGGGAGGGAAAGGTCATGGCTTAAGATCTGGTGCTCCTAAGATTAGCAACTTTGCTTGGGTAATTTTGTTTTTCAGCAAGACAAAATTATTTTGGGGGTATTCTGGGGTTAATCTGCCCAAAGAGCAGGGATGAATCAAGGGGTGGGTGGGGCCAGGGCTGGCACTCCCTTTTGCTATTTCCTGTCTCCTCCCCCTCACACATAGGTGCACGTACACACACACACACACACACACAGCACACTGCAAAGAAAGAACAGGCCACCTTTATCCGCTGCCCCAACCAATCCTTTGCTGGAACCAGAAGTTGAACGGCCCCAGGCGGTTGAACAGGGAGCCAGCCCCGAAGAGAAAGGGGCGATTTGGAGATGCGCACAGACCCTCTTATCAGTAGCCTCCTAAAGAAGCTGTGTCAAGCTGCTCTTGGCCAGGGGGAGAAGCCTCTGGCTTAAGCTGTGTCCTGAAGCCCCTTTGCCCCTTCTGGTCTGGGCCCCAGATGAAGGAGGGCCCGTCCCCTTTTGCACAGGCACGGGGTAGGGAGGCAGCTCACCTCTAGCAGAGCCTTTGTACCACAGGGGGGCAGAACCTGTAACCGCTGCCCTCGAGGGGGTGGGCCGGAGGGGTCCTCCGTAGAAGGGGGGGGCATTCTGCCCTTTGAAAAAGGCATGACCCTCAGGGCCATAAAACTTCGCCCAGGGTCGAGTCACTTCAAACATGTAATTTGTAACTGCCAGATTGTGTTATCTGTAGCAAAGTGGGAGAAAATATTTATCTACTAGTTATTCTTGTAAATCAGGCCTCAGAAAATATGTCTGAGAAAAGAAAATTCTAATTTTCCTTGAAGTGTTGCTTCAGAATTTTAGTATCCTTCGCTCTGTTAGGTTGTGCAACTTGTATCTGAGCTCAGTTTGGAAATCAAACCTCAGATTCTGAAGGATCTTCCACCGATTCGGACGTTGGCCAACATCTGCAGCTCTGAAGCCGTCTGCTGGGCTTAGAGATTAGAGTGGCTGGAAGGAAACACCCATTTCCCCGAATCCAGGGGGTGTGGAGGGAAGGGAAAGAGTTTCATTGTGCCTCTCTTCCCCCATCCGTTGACTTTCCCCAGTGCCCTTGGATTAGCATCCAAAATGCTGTGCCTGGACTGCAACTATTAAGAACTGTAACAATGTAGCACACACTGTTTCAATGTGTATTGCATTGTTACAGTTCTTAACTCTTGTTGATTATAAATTAGACTTGCTATAACTGAGGTGTTATTATAAGATACAATTTGTATGCTGCAGTTCTAGGAATAAGGAATTAACACCAAAATGAGACTAACGTATTTTTGCTCTCTAAAAACATGTCAGCTGAACACAACAAATAGATGCAATTTGGATGCAGAAGTTCTGTGGTTTTGGCTTCCTGCATGGACTAACTTGAAGGGCTGTCATCAAGGCCACCTGCTGCTTTGGCAACAGCCCAGAAACCAGCGCTGATGTCCCTGGTCACCACCCATTAGCCCAACTTTGGCTGGTGCACCTCTTCATCTTCTGCATCCAAACTGCATCTGTTTGTTGTTCTCTTGGTAGAGAAACCAACTAACTGCTATTGGCATTTGTTATTGTTTACCATCTGGGTCTCTTGGTGTGATTGCGCTGATGGGGGCAAGAACCCCGAGGAGAATTGTTGTGCTGGCAAGGAAGGTGGGGGATTGTGGTCCTTCTGAAAGTCTCTGGTTCGAAAGGTGGTCAGGCTAGGACAGAGCTTTCTTTCGACGGTTTCCATCATTTGCCCTTCTCACCCATACCCTGGAGTCTCTGGACAGCTTGGACAGAAGCGCCTCAAATTAGTAATTGCTTTCTAAGTGTGTGTCCCATCTAGCAGCTTAGTGCACAGGCTATGTGGTAGTGTAGACTGAGGGTGGAGATGAGCCAAGGAAGAACTAGCTAAGCAGGAAGCTGACTCACTGGGTGCTGAGCAAGAAATCTGCCAAGAAGTAAAGTTAATTTTGACGTCACAAGCAGAAGAACAGCAAAGGAGCTCCCTTCGGGGAGATGTGACGTGTGTGGCGTGAAGGCATTCAGCTTTCAGCCGTTTCTTGTCCTGCCTTAGCATATTGTGGTTAACGGCAGGCCCTGGCTTAATAAATGGTTGCCCTGTTGTGGGGTGGAGGGTGGTTGACCTCTGGTTTTGGTGCTAAACATGGCTTTGACAAGATCAGAGCAGTTCTGGGAATGAATCTCCTGAAGGAGAGCAATCCAGGAAACGTTGGTGGCTGCCTCAGGAACAGATTCACCCACCAAGTAGATTCCGTAAAGCATTACTTGCCCAAACTGTCCCTGATTGAGAACTGCGGGCAGGCAGCCTCATGGGAATGGGGTCAGAATTATGAGAACTAATTTATTTTTACATAGGTTGGGAAATAGAGTGTGCAGGAGCTGCCAAATACTGGTCTGACATGGGCATGAGAGTAAGCCACGTTTTTTCAACTTTGATTTCTTGAACAAGTCCTTGTGAGCCTCGTTCACACATCCCTCTGTGTCAAAGGCCACCCAGTCACTCTGTGGCTTAGCAGGGTGTGTTGCTGGTTCTGCTGTGGTTGGCCTTGGTTGGGGCTGCCTGGCAACGGAGGGCTTGGTCTGGAGCCTCTGTGGGGAAGGGTTGGCTCTGCCCCCGGGCGGCAGTGGGCAGGAGTGGGAGAAGAGGGGAGGACGTGCGGATGGCCCCAAGCAAAGCTCCTGGGGCTGATGGAAGCCGGAGGGCTGATGCCTCTCATTGTGGTCTAGGGTCCCTGGATGCAGACAAGGAAGGAGCTGATCCTCAGGTTAACTTTTCTGATAAATGGGCTCTTGGAAATAACACCAGAGCTCTGAGACCCTGAGTTCTAGTCCTGCCTTAGGCACAAAGCTGGCTGGGTGATCTTGGACAGTCCCCCTCCCAGGTCCAGGAGGAAGATGGACGCCAGGGCTGACCACTTCTGAAGATGCTGCCAAGAGAAAAGAGGGGGGGGGCTTTGTCAGGCACTTGCTGGGAGTCAAGACTGTCTCATGGGAAAGTGCCCCCCCCCCCCAAAAAAAAGGTTGGCCTAGAAATGTTTTAAATAGCTCTGTAGTTCCAGGGCAAGGACAGGATATCGATCCTCCTTCATGTGTTCTGTGCCTGTCATGAGAGCCTGGTTTCCTGGGCCATCAGGGCCAGCCAATGTCAGCGTGAGCTGGGGGGGTGGGTGGGCTGCTGGTTAAACTAGGCAGTGGTTTCACAGGTGGAAAAAGATTAAGCTGTCTGGCAGCCTCACTGCCTTGCAAAGAAATGTGGATTCCGACACACCCTCCCCTCTTTGTTGTGAGAGCAAATGAGGTTCAGTCTCTGTTGGCGGAAAGGAAAGAATGCAGAAGGACTTCCTGTTCCACTGCAGAGGCAGAGGATGCCATGGGGCTGCGAGGCAGGAGGAAGCAAGGAGGCTGCACACTGGCTAGAAAAAGGGAGGGCAAACTAAATTTGAGACTTGAAGCATAACACAAATCTGTCAAGACAATTGCGTTACTTGGACAACTAAAGATACACAAAAGTGCCATCGAGCAACATGGTTAAGTTAAATTATTAAGTTTAAATTATAGTAGAATTGTCAGAAAAGCAGTCTGGAATTCTTTAAAATCCAGACACTGGGGAGATCACTTCATCCAATTTCTGTGGAGGGGAAATCCCTGCCCCCAGGACAAAGGCAGGAGCCTCAAGGGAAGGGTTTCCTTGGGAGGTAAGGAAGGTGTGGGAAGAGCAGGTGGCTACAGATCCCTGAAGGGGGAGGATAAATGCGATGAAAGGCCCAGCCCTTGGCCAACTTGCAACTAAGTGAAAGCACCACACTTCCCCTTTGAAATAAACGGTCAAAATCAGGTGAAAGGTAACAGGTAAAAAAAAAAAATCTTATGAGAATTTCTCTGTCCAGCATTGAATTAAATCAATTGCTGGAAAAATCAAAGAACTAACCCTCATTTTCTCCCCTTAGGAATATCTGTGGCTTTAAAAGATTGCCAGCTTCCTATTTTTAGCTGATTATGAAAGCAGATCTTCCCTGTCGCTTCCTGCAATCTTCCCCCTCCTCGTTAAATTAGTCAGTCTTTTGATTCTAACCCAGTGGGGCTGTCGTTGCTCCCCCCTTCCAGGATGAGGGGGCCGGACCTCCTTGCTCCTCCCCTGCAGTTTCTCAGCCTGCCTCTGTTTACAGGAGCCGCCAGAGCCAGGGTGGCACACCTGTACACCCTGGTTACTGGTAGCCGGGTGGGAAAGATGTCACATTGATCAAAAATCTCTCTTGGTGGACAGGAATGGCGGCTGTGTGCAACTGGTGTGCGTTCTGTTCTGCTTCCGGATTCTTTCAAATGCAACCTTTCCAAGCATTGTTTTTGTAACTGGGACATAAAATGCATTGTAACAAACTTTTAGCCCTGGTTCCTCTTGCAGCCTGAGAAGCATAAGTGGGGCCTTTGTTCTGTTCAGCTCCAGCCACTGTATCGTCTTTGAAATCCTGCTTGTGTAGCATGGAGAGGCATAAACTTTAGGAACCACTTTGCCAGGTGATTAATAAACTTAATTCTGGAACTAGCAGCCATCTCTGACCACAGAAGGGTCTGCAGTGAGGAGATGGGGGGATCACTAAGTCAAAGGTGCCTGGCTGGCCAGCTCCCTTCAGATATCTGCTCTTCTCCTCAATTGCATTTTAATTTAGTAAAAGCTGAGTAATTAAGTGAGCAGTTCTCAAATGGATGTTCTCTGGCAGTCCTCCTGCTTTGTAATTGAGGAGTTTAATGAGGCAATCTGGGCTGGGCCTCCAGGACTCCTGCCTGCCCGCCCGCCCCATCCTGCCCTGCTGTGCCTTTGGAAACGCTCCGTTGGGTGGCTGCTGGCTAGTCTTTGAAAGGAACCTTCCTGGACATGCTGGACTCTGGGCCTTCTCTCCAACCAGCAGGATCAGCCGGGAAAAGCTGATCTGCTGCCAGTTGATCACAGATGGAGAAGGCGGCCCTGGTTGTTCAGGTTGTTCACCATTTTTCTTTGCCTTACCCATTTTTCTCCTGTTGCCAGGTTGACAAGTACCTTTATCACCTACGGCTTTCAGATGACTCCCTCCGTGACATCTCGGAACGGTTCCAGAAGGAAATGGAGAAGGGCCTGGGGGCAGACACCAACCCTACGGCTTCTGTGAAAATGCTGCCAACCTTTGTGAGGTCCATTCCTGATGGAACAGGTAAAGTGTTGTCTTCCCCCCCCCCCAATAAAAAGCAGTCCGCTTCAGGCTCCAGAGCTCTCTTGATTGTAGAAGTTCAATTCTTCCCTATATCAAATGTTTTTTAGAGCATGTTAACTGCCAAGCAGGGATTTGACTACTTCAAATCTTTAAAGAATATTTCTTAAGCTTTGGCATCTTTCCTATAGAAATGGGCCTTTAAAGATGGAGATCGTGTTTTCTAAATTCTGTAACTTATGGTGTAGTATATTTCTGGAGTAGTTTTCACCCGTTTGAAAGCCACTTGGAAGACTTGACTCTGTATGGTTTATTGGCCATGTGTTTTTGTTTTTCCCATTACGACATGAGTAGAGTAGAGTAGAGTAGAGTAGAGTAGAGTAGAATAGAATAGAATAGAATAGAATAGAATAGAATAGAATAGCACTGGAAGGGACCTTGGAGATCTTCTAGTCCTGCCCCCTGCTCAAGCAGGAGAACCTATACCATCTCAGACAGGTGACTGTCTAGTCTCTTCTTAAAAACCTCCAGTGATGGAGTGCCCATGATTTCTGGGGGTAAGCTGGTCCACTGGTTGATTGTCCTCACTGTCAGGAAGTTTCTCCTTAATTCCAGGTTGCTTCTCTCCTTGATCAGTTTCCAACCATTGTTTCTCGTCCTGCCCTCTGGTGCTTTGGAGAATAACTTGACCCCCTCTGCCTTGTAGCAGCCCCTCAAATACTGGAATACTGCTATCATGTCTCCCCTATTTCTTCTTTTCTTTAGACTAGCCAAACCCAAGTCCCACAGTTGTTTTTCATATGTTTTAGTCTCCAAGCCTTTGATCATCTTTGAAGAGCTCATAGTTTTGTTTTTTGAATCCTGCATGCATACATGAATGAAATGGCCTCCATCTCTCTCTCTCTTTCTCCCTACCCCACCCTATCCCACCCCACTCACCTCAACTTCCAACAGAGGAGGGTGACTTCTTGGCATTGGATTTTGGTGGCACAAATTTCCGGGTGCTCAGAGTCAAAGTTGCAGAAAACGGCAGCAAGAAGGTTGAGATGGAAAATCAGATCTATGATATTTCGGAAGAACTGATGAGAGGCTGTGGGACACAGGTGAGTCCCTTAGTTTGTCTCTCTCTGATTTCAACTACCTCTCTCTATGTCCTACTCTAACTGATGTACTACTACTGGGGCAGAGAACCTCTGGATTCTATGGAAAATTTAATGAATATGCTCTTTATGTGGGCTCCCAAGTGCTCCCAAAGTGGGTCTCTAGCTTGTTTTTTTGGCCATTGTGAGTGGCAAAAAGGGATTCTTGTTGCCTTGGAGTGTCTGTAAAGTTCCCCATCTCAAAGGGGAAGACATGGATGTGCAGAGTAGAGTCCTACTCTGAAACATGTAGTTCCGCTTTTATTTATTTATTTTACCTAATGTTGTAGGGTGTAGATATTTGCAGAATATTGGAGGCCACGCCATAGAAAATATAAACAGCACAGTGACACTTACAGAGCAGTACAGATCTAAATCGAAACCCCAGTCACATTCAGTGGAAGGATTTCTAAATCAAGACCCAGGAAAGCCTGACTGCAAAGGTGAACTTTGGATGTCTAATGGAGAAGAAGGCTGGAGTGTTTCCTTCGGTTGCAAATGAGGTAACAGATTGGGGTGAATCCAAGATTGGCCTCAAAACTGTTTCATTACCAAATTGGGTAGCCTCATCAGTATTAGATGGGAGGAGGTTAGAGCAAACCCTACTCCCTTCTGCCACTGACGATGTTACCTAGTTTGGTAATGAAAGGTCTGCAAGAAAACAACCAAGCTTAGAGAGCACCAGGGATCCCTCATTCCAGCCCTGAGCTACAAATATTCTCTTCTAGCTGTAGATTTTTGGGGGATACAGTTCAAGTCTCTTGGAGACAGTACATAAATGTTGCTTGCATTTTGATTTTGATGTAGTTGTGATACCTTAGCTGTACATAGATTCGAGTAAAGGCTTTGGCACATCTAGACAAACCAAAACGGTTTGGTGATTGGATTTCCTAAAGACGTATTTCTGCCTCTTCAGCTCTTTGATTACATTGCTGACTGTTTGGCTAACTTCATGGAGCGGCTGCAGATAAAGAACAGGAAGCTGCCATTAGGCTTTACCTTCTCCTTTCCCTGCCGCCAGACCAAACTGGACGAGGTAAGCGAGATCTGTGCTCCTGGGACTCTGTGCCAGACCTTCCCCCACACGCCTCCAACTCTGGCACAGAGATAGATTCTCTGGCAGCACCTTTTCCTGCCGGGTCCTCCCCTGCCCGGCCTGTGAATGAGAGAGGCTTAATCCATCCTTAGCGCTCCTGGCATTAAAGTTGTGCTTCCCCCTTTAAGCTGACATTCAGAGCATCTGCCAGGTGGGCAGAATCCATTCTGCTGGAGCGCCTCTCACATCAGAGGCAAAGTTGGGGAGGGGGCAGAACTGGGCGAGATCGGGAGGGGATCCTTATGGCTGGTTGGGACTGAGGTGGGCACGGCCCCTCACCGGAGCTCCCTGATCAGTCCCTTCTTCCACCACCGGCTGATGGGTTGTGCCAGGGATCTGCCGGAGTGGTGCAATATGCCAGGCTGACCAGACGGCTGTTCCCTCAGGGTGCTGTGGACCCAACAGGTGGAGCGCAAAGCTGAAAGAGCGTAATGGAGGAGTGCTGGAAACGGCCCCCTTCCCAAGGCCCCCTGGGGCATTTGGAGTGTGGAGCCTGCCTAGGAAAGGGAGGGGAATCGCTGCTTGGCATTCGGCCCCTTGGAGATGCCAGGCTTTGCTACACTTCATCCGACTTGGGCGATGGCAGAAAGGGGTGCAGGAGGAGGGACGGAGGAAGGAGATGCCAGGCTCAGGACCATTTAAAAGTGGGAACAATTCTTTTTCTCACTTTTTTTTAATTCTGCCCCAATCTGCAGAGTCTGGGTGACATTCAACAGAATAAATGTGCAGAATAAAAATAAAAGGAAATATTTAATAAAGACTCATGAATGTCCACCAGAAACATTCAGTCATGGTTTAAACCATAGTTTAAATAACAGCTCCTCCTCCAGATATGTGGACTTCAACTCCCAGGATCCTCGGTGTAGATTTCTCGATAGTACCTGTACAGGTTGAGGAGTTCTGGGAATTGAAGTCCACACTTCTCGGACGGGGGTATCCTGTCAGAGTAAATTCTCTCTAGGACCTGGGGAGCAGAACCCCCGTAAGATAGTCACGTTAAGATTAATTTCTTGTCGCTTTACCTTTTTCTCATCAGAGCTTCTTGGATACGTGGACCAAAGGTTTCAAGTGCAGTGGTGTGGAAGGAAAGGACGTGGTTTCTCTGTTACGGAAAGCTATAGAGAAGCGAGGGGTAATTAAAACCTGATCTTTTCCCAGCTTGAGGTTCCAGGGAGGCATTAGATTTCCCCGAGGATCTATCACAGGGTCATTGGTGCTGGAATCCTCCCATAGTCACTCAGTGTGGTTGCATGTTTTCTTTAAAATTGTTTGAAAAAGTTTGTGAAAGCCGTTCATGGAGTGATAACAGCCCATCCACCAAAATTTTCCTCCAATGGGATTTTCCCATGTATTTTACCAGGAAACATAGATAGGGCAGGCTAGAAAAGTCAGTGCCCTCCTAACCATACCCAAGCACTCTAATCCCCTCTTAAAATCCTCCAGTGATGGAGCACCCACAACTTCTAGAGGGAAGCCGTTCCATTGGTTGATTGCTCTCACTGTCAGAAAATTTCTCCTTAGTTCCAGGTTGCTTCTGCTTGTTTAGTTTCCACCCATTGCTTCTTGTCCTGCCTTCTGGTGCTTTGATGAATAGGTTGACCCCTCTTCCTTGTGGCAACCCCTCAAATACTGGAACATGGCTATCCTGTGGCCCCTGCTCCTCCTTTTCACTAGACTAGCCATACCCAATGGCCCCAAACCCTGGAAAAGAGGGGAGCTACCTGTACAATGTGCCGTTTGCATGTAGATTGTGGAGGTGGCTTGGGGCCTGCAAGGGGACCGGCATCAGCTGCATGCAGGAGAGCAGGGAGCTTTTTCTGCAGTAGCAGCGGTACCTGCCCTGTGCTTCAAGCAGGGAAAGGCCCCTGGAAGTGGCTGGAAGGGAGGGAAGCTGCTGTGTGGAGGGAAGAGCAGGGTCCTTCCACAGCAAGTACCACAGATTCCTTGTTCTCCAGAACGTGGCTGCTTCACCATCAAATCCCAGCACAAGACAAACTGGGTCCCACCGGTCTGCCCCATCTTCCGCTGCCCCTGCTTCCGAGGCCTGGAGTAGGAGCCTTGGGTGTCAACCTGATTGTGTAGAGTTGTTGAGCCAACTGGGACTCTCGCTCACTGCTTCTTTTCCCAATTTCTGCATTATAGGACTTTGAAATTGATGTTATAGCTGTGGTGAATGACACTGTTGGGACAATGATGACCTGTGGCTATGACGACCAGAACTGTGAAGTTGGACTTATTGTTGGTAAGGGAGTCATTTGGGCATAAGACGGGCAAGCAGGTCCCCTTCCCCACTTACATTGTCTGTGCCAACCGAGAAGCAGAAACAAATGTTGGCCCCATCAGATTGCTCCCCCTCCCCCTTAGACTTTGCAGTTCATGGCATCTGCTTTATGACGAGAGCTTCTTTGTTGCCCATCGCCCCGGCCCTGGAGCCTTCTCAGTTTCTGCCTTGCCTCTCTCCCCCCACCCTTCCTAGGCTCTGGGTCAAATGCTTGCTACATGGAGGATATGCGTCATATTGAGAGAGTGGAGGGCGACGAGGGCCGCATGTGCATCAACATGGAGTGGGGAGCCTTTGGAGATGATGGATCCCTCAAGGATATCCGGACAGAGTTTGACCAAGAGATTGACATGGGCTCCCTGAATCCTGGCAAGCAGCTGTAAGTGGAACGTCTCCCCCTGGGTGGCTTTGCTGTTGCCAGACACCTTCTGGGCAAGGCCACTCTCTCTCCAGGCTCCTGGCCCAGAGGCCAGAAGCAGCTCCAGTCTTGCCCAGAGTCAGAGAGTATTCAGCGATATCGTCGTCATCATCATCATCATCATCATCATCAAGTTGGAAGGGACCTAGAAGGTCTTCTAGTCCAACTCAGGCAGGAGACCATTTCAGACTAATGATTGTCCAATCTCTTCTTAAAAACTTCCAATTTCTGGAGGCAAATTGTTTCACTGTTTAATTGTTCTAACTATCAGGAAATTTCTTCTTAGTTCCAGGTTGCTTCTCTCCTTGATTAGTTTCCATCCGTTGTTTCTTGTTCTGCCCTCAGGTGCTTTGGAGAATCGCTTGACTCCCTCTTCTTTGGGGCAGCCCCTCAGATATTGGAACACTGCTAACATGTCACCCCTGGTCCTTCTCTTCATTAAACTAGACATCCCCAATTCCAGCAACCGTTCCTTATATGTTTTAGCCTCCATGCCCCTGATCATCTTTGTTGCTCTTCTCTGAACTCTTTCTAGAGTCTCAACATCTTTTTTACCTTGTGGGGCCAAAACTGGATGCAGTATTCCAAGTGTGGCCTTACCAAGGCCTTGTAAAGTGGTATTAACACTTCACGTGGGGCTCTGTTGAGTCGGCAGCTCCTCCAGTCCAAGGAGGCCAGTTGGATCAGGCCTCGGGGTTTTCCAGGTCCAAACTGGACTTCCAAGGCTGAAGGACCCCTTGCAGAAGGAAGGGCATGGAGGATCCGTTTCCATTCTGCAGCTCCCAGTTTCCACGTGGAAATTTAATTCAGAGGAATGTGGGAGATCAAATATATGACTGTGTCTTCCCAGAATGTAACCCCTTTAGGATAGCATAGGAACATTTGTTGCATGAAACATTATTCTCATTGCATTTCCCTCAAGATGATGATTTACTCATTAATTTTCCACACCTGTGCGATGGGGTCCACCATGTGTGAAATGACATGTTTTCTTGAGCAATCCGTAATCTGAAACCTATCGACGTCTTTGATCTACTAATCTCGCTCCTTCTCTCCCACGTTGCAGGTTTGAGAAGATGATCAGTGGGCTGTACATGGGCGAGCTGGTCAGGCTCATCCTGGTGAAGATGGCCAAGGAGAAGCTTCTCTTCAGCGGGAGAATCCCTGACACCTTGAGGAAGAAGGACTGCTTTGAGACCAAATACGTCTCTGCCATCGAGAAGTAAGTGGCGGGTCAGGGCCGGGAGCACTTTGGCCTTTCAGGAATCTGTCCCACAGGGAGGAGCCAGGGCCGGGGGCAGCCACCTCCTTGGGTGGCCCAGAGAACGCCTGGGAGGGCTCCGTATGAAATGATGCTGAGACAGTTGGGCTTTCTGGCTCTAGACCCCGAGCAGAATGAGCCACCCTCCATTTAAAGAAAGGCATTCTTGTATAGAATATAAGTGAATTCTCAATTGGCCCTGTGTGATTGGACACCCAAGGAGTTTTTCTCCGGTGCAGAAGCTCTCAGTGTACATACAAGCAACAAGTGATAAATCACGATCATAATCGCAAGATACAAGCGTCACAAATTATAACATGTAACACTCAGTGATAATCACAGGATACTAAATAAGAATAGACGTATATAGGAAGCTTGTCTGCTTCTCTTGTATTGCACTTTTCTTCTAGCAGCATTTTGACTGGACAGCCATTTGTCCGAAATGGTGTAGGGTTTCCTGCCTGAGCAGGGGGTTGGACTCGATGACCTCCAAGGTCCCTTCCAACTTATTATTATTATTATTATTATTATTATTATTATTATTATTATTATTATTATTATTATTATTATTATTATTATTATTATTATTATTATTATTATTATTATTATTATTAACTGTGATCTGCACTGAAACCAGCATTTTGATTAGATTCTACTGGATGGGTTCAGCATGAGGTGGGGGGTTGGGCCTCAGCCTGTTCAGACATAGCAGGCACGCAGAGGGACAAGGCGGTATAGTAGCTGAGGTGACGGGCTAAGAGCTAGTTTCCCCTGAAGATCCTTGGGGATTAAGCCAATGGCTTCTCTTCAGGCCAACCTACCTTACAGGGTTGTTGTAGAGAAAACAAGGAGGAAGGAGTGCTGGCTAAGCCTTCCTGGAATTCCTAAATGAAGGCTGGAAAAGAGACCGGGAAAATAACTAAACAGCTAGGAATCCTCTGAGCCTGATATGCCGAGGACCCGCTTGCTGGGGAAAGGAGGTGCAGACCGATGACCTTCCGTGGGCCCCAAGGGTTAGAAGGGACCTTGGAGATTTCTAGTCCATCCCTACCCAGGGCAGGAATCCTCCAGCCATCCTGACAAGTGGCTGTCTAGCGTGGCAGCCGAGCGGTGCTGAAAATGACATGAGTGAGGGAAGGTCCCGGGTGGGGGGGGGCTGGGCTGCAGGATTTGGCCGCCCCAGAGAGGATTTGGGCAGAGATGGAGGCAGGCAGAGCGCCAGGGAAGGGCGGCTTGCAGCTGGCAAGGACTTGTTAGCCTCATTCCTTCTCTGAACTTGCAGGGAGAAAGAAGGCATCTCGAACGCCCGCAAGATCTTGGAACAGCTGGGCCTGGAGCCTTCCTACGAGGACTGTGTGGCCACCCAGCGCGTCTGCCAGATTGTCTCCACCCGCTCGGCAAACCTTTGTGGGGCTGCCCTGGCCGCTGTGCTCCACCGCCTGAAGGAGAACAGGGGGGTCGACTGGCTGCGCACCACCGTCGGGGTGGATGGCACCGTCTACAAAAAGCACCCTCAGTAAGTGGGCTCCGGAGACCCAGCCGGGGAGGTTCTGAGTGGGCGGAAGCAGCGGGTTGTAGCTGGCAGCAGGGGGCTCCATTTGAGGGCCGGAGGCATTCTTAGGAAGAGGATATTGGGGGAGGTGGGCGTTTTTCTTTGTACAAGCCAAATCCCTTCCTTCCTTCTTTCCTTCCTTCTTTCCTTCCTCCCTCCTCCCTCCCTCCCTCCAAAAAGGGGAATCACCGACGGATTTGGGCACAGCATGTGTGATTAGTTTTAAAATTTTAAAGGTTTAATTAATTGGACCGAATACTCCTTAGTTGCCTGCCAAATTTTCTTTTTGCACGCTAGGCAAGTTACAGATAGTCCTCTGGCTGTGATGGCAATGGGAATGTCCACCATTAACCATTTGGCCACTTGAGCACCTTGCTTAGTGTTGGCCATCCCAGCAGTCCTGGTTGCCGTCACAATGTCAGGACCACCTGGGTTATTAAGCGAGGATTTCCTGTGAACAGGACAGGGGAAGAGGCGGGCCAAGAACTGCCGGTGAGGGCCTGGGTGGGTGGGTGGGTGGGTGCGTGTCAGCAGTCGCCACGGAGTGCAGGGGGCTGTGCCAGGGCCACGGCCAGGCGAAAAAAACGGAGGAGGCTGCTGGTTTTCCCACCAACTTTGCTTGTGGGAAGCTGGTAGTGAAAGTTGCAAACGGTGATCCTGTGACCAGGGGAGGCTGCAACCATCACAACTTTGCAGAGTGGTCATATAAGTCCCCTCATTCAGCAGCACCATAACTCTGAACCGTTGCTGAACGAGGGCCAGGCGAGGATTAACTAGTAATTCAGAATGGCAATTCAGTTTCCAAAAGGCGTAGTTGGTGGAGATATTTTAAAAGTATTAATCCACTGCTATTGGTCCTCATAACTGTTTACTATCTGGATCTTTATTATGGTTTGCGACCTGGTGTGATTCTGTTGTCTGGGCAATGCTTGTGATGGAAAAGTGTTGTGTAGACAAAGAAGTTGCCAGTTTGTGGTCCTTTTGAACGTATCTGGCCACGAGGGTTTCTTTGCCATCATTGCCCTTGTTGCCAAAGGCAGGACGCCAGGGTCCCTGGGGAAATTCTCTGCCTTGGGGAGGGCCCAGGTTCTGCTCTGGCCTGCCTGCTTTGGACTCGGTAGCTCCTTGGCTGAGTTTGGAGACTGTTACGGGTAGGAGTAGCCCTATAATTTCATGCAGAAATAGACCTGCAACAGTCCTCTGCTCCATCTTTGTCCCACATAGTTTTGCCCACCGCCTTCACAAAGTGGTACGTCGCCTCCTGTCTGGCCACGAAATCCGATTTGTCCGGTCAGAAGATGGAAGCGGCAAGGGAGCTGCCATGGTGACGGCGGTGGCATATCGGCTGGCTGCCCAGCATGGGGCCCGCCAGAAGATCCTCCGCCCTCTCCGACTGGACCCCCAGCAGCTGCTGGAGGTGAAGAGGAGGATGCAGCAAGAGATGGGGTTGGGCCTGGCCCAGGAGACGCACGCCAAGGCCACTGTGAAGATGCTGCCCACCTACGTGTGTGCCACTCCGGATGGGACAGGTAAGGAGGCCCAGGGAGGCCCGCTGGGCTGGAGCAGGGGAGGTGTGGCCAGGATTCCACAGCCTGGTTGGGACTGATGCAAATTGCAGAATACACCTAACTTTCATAATCTCCAGATGCCCATGTAGTAAACCACAAAAAACCCTCACCCAAACCAAGTTCGGCCTGATGCCTGTGCAGGGCTATCGGAATGCTGGTGACCCAGTTGGACCAGTTTGAAGGCAGCCCTGGGGTGTTCCCTCTGTTCCCTCTCTCAACGTGGCTTCCTGGATGTCTGCTGTTGCTGGAAATTTTCTTGTGAATTGTGTCCTTGGAACAGATTCATTTCATTCCCTCCAAGGAGCACCTGGGGCAGTTCCCCACGTTGGCCTCTGCTGAAGCCTGCATCTGCCTCCCTTGGTGGCCCTTTGTACTGGAGGAAGATGGTTTTCTCACTTGCCCTCTAAATGCTTTTGCACATGATCTGGAACAGACTGCCCAGTGGGGCCCCTCAGATGCTTTTTTCTTGAAATCCCCCCCCACTGGTGCCTTCCAGATGTATCATTCCCAGTAACATCACCATGCCATCCTCGCTGAGAGTTTTGCAAGGTGCTTCTGTCAGTGAATCTGGAGGGCATCACTGTGAAGAACAACATCTAAGGATTTCGTTGGTCTCCTCCTCCTCCTCCTCCTCCTCCTTTTCCTCCTCCTCCTCCTCCTTTACCACCACCTCCATCGTTGTGGTAACTTCTGGGGCTTTGCAGAACGAGGCTTAGAAGTTCTGATGTTTTGGTGTATCTGTGGCATTTGTAAAAGGAGCTGGATTTTGGTTTCAGAAAAAGGAGACTTCCTGGCCTTGGACCTGGGGGGCACCAACTTCCGTGTGCTTCTGGTGCGCATACGAAATGGGATGCGGCGCAGCGTGGAGATGCACAACAAGATCTACACAATTTCAGAAGATATTATGCAAGGAACAGGAGAGGAGGTGAGTGATCCTTGGAAGAGTGGGAGGGGGTTCAATGGATGGAGAAGTCATAGCAAGTCCAGAGAGACCTTCCTTGCAGCTAAAAGGGGTCCTGGCATTTTGGCTTAAGGGCCTCTGGAACAGCTATCGGGCACCAGGAGAAGCAGCCCTACTGCCGGGGGTGGCTGTGAGAGCTATTATGAAAGCCAAGCAGATAGTTCTTAATCTTTGGTTGTTTAACTAATATTCAAAATTATCATGGCCTCAGAGAAGGTGCTTTACGACCGATGAAGCACCTCTGAGTGTTGCAGAGGATTGTAAAACATTTTCCCTGTGCTCACACGATTGGATGAAATTCAGTGGTGAGAAAAGTAAGGTTTTGCTTAGGCAAGAAAAACCTAATGCACAGGTACAGAGTAGGTGAAACCTGGCTCAATAGCAGTTACCGTCAGAGAGGTCTTGGAGTCCTAGTGGACAATCACTTAAATGTGAGCCAGCCATGTGCTGTAGCTGCCAAAAAGGCCAATGCAATCCTAGGCTGCATTAACAGATAGAATCAAGATCACGAGAAGTGTTAATACCATTTTACAAGGCCTTGGTAAGGCCACTCCTGGAATACTGCATCCAGCTTTGGTCACTATATTATAAAAAAAGATGTTGGGGATCTGGCAAGAGTGCAGAAAAGAGCGGCAAAGATGATTAGGCCTGGAGGCTAAAACATATGAAGAAGGGTTCCAGGAATTGGGTATGTCTAGTCTAGTGAAAAGGACCAGGGGAGGTGTGATAGGCATGTTCTAATATTTGAGGGGCTTCCCCAAAGAAGCGGGAGTCAAGCTCTTCTCCAAAGCGCCTGAAGGCAGGACAAGAAGCAACGGATGGAAACTAATCATGGAGAGAAGCAACCTAGAACTAAGGATTAGTTGTGAGTGCTCCATCACTGCAGGTTTTAAGAAGAGATTGGTCAGCCATTTGTCCAGAATGGTATAGGGTCTCCTGCTTGAGCAAGGTCCCTTCCAATTCCGTTATTCTGTGATAAGGCTTCCAGTCCTGTTTTACCCCTGCCATGCTGGGTTTCTTCTGGAAAATGCAACCGTCCTTCCCTTGTTGGAGGCGGCCTGGGGAATTCTGGGGGTTGAAGGTTCGCAGCTCCGCCCCTTGTTTCTCCCTGCAGCTCTTTGATCACATCGTTAACTGCATTTCGGACTTCCTGGAGTACATGGGGATGAAGGGCACTTCGCTTCCCCTAGGATTTACCTTCTCTTTCCCTTGTCAGCAAAACAAACTTGATGAGGTACGTCTTCTCCTGCTGCTTTCAAATTGTCTGTGTGTGTATGTGGGGTTTTGCTGTGTGTGTGTGTGTGTGTGTGTGCTGCTAAGCTTCTGGGCAGCTCCGATGACGAAAAGCACCAGGCAGCCCAAGGTATTAAGTTGGGTTAAAAAGCAATGAAAAGGTACCTATAACCTTAGAATTGGTCAAGAGAGCACCAGGAAGGTTAGTCAGTTAATTGATTCAACACCTGCCCCCCTCCACTGCCCGGGGGACTGAGAAACCGATGTGCAGTCCAAGGGCTGTTGGAATAAGCCTTTTTTCATAGCTTTCCTAAAACCAGCAAGGAAGGCCCCGGGATGGTGGTTGCTGTTTGGTTTGTATTTCAGTACAATGTTAACCCTGCAAGATGGCTTGATCAATTGGCCATGAATTAGTACGAGGCAAACCTTGGATTCCTGAGGGTAGTTGAAGTAGCAGATGGAAGCAAGGAAGGAGATCTGGCCCTGAGCGTGAACATTTCCCATCCACCTTGGGTATTATGTCTTTCCAAAAGCTTGAGTTACCCAGAGATGCACAGGGGGGATTTTTCAAGGCAGGTGTGGATGTGCTGCAAGACTCTCCTTTGGCAAGTGCAGGAGCTCTGCTGGGTCAAACAGGGAAGTCTGTGTGACATGGTAGCTAGAAACGCATAACTTTGCTTTGTTTGCTTATTAAACTTGTAGCTGTTTAGAGCATTTGCATGTTTTAAAATAAGCTGGATAGATTTGAGCTGGTCGCTTAACCTGAGGCCACACAGATAAAGTTGTTACTAGTTGACTCTGAGATGGGAGCTGTTTTCTGCTTTTCTCTCAGGGCATTCTCCTGCAGTGGACCAAGGGATTCAGTGCTTCTGGCTGTGAAGGAGAAAACGTTGTGGGACTGCTGAAGGAAGCCATGCTCAGAAGAAAGGTATATCTCTGAAATAGGTGTTTCTAATTACAAAATTGATCCATTTTGGAGAGAAACACTTGGCTTGAAACAAAACCAAAGGAGTGATATTTGGAATACTCTTAATGTGGACTGAGGTTGACTAATTTTGATTTCTAATTCCTTTTTACATTGGGGTGGTTTCCTGTTCCCTCATAGAAAAGACTGCAGGCCAAAACTCTTTTTATTTCTTCTCCTTAGGAGTTTGAACTGGATGTGGTAGCTTTGGTGAACGACACAGTGGGCACCATGATGAGTTGTGGGTATGAAGACCCTCTTTGTGAAGTGGGACTTATTGTTGGTAAGCACCCAACCTTGGTTGTTAAAGCAGCGATGTAATTGATGGAGGGGATTCTGCCCTCTTCCATCCCAAGAACATCATCTATGGCCCACCTTCTTCACGAATGAAGCCAACCAGCTGGAGACATATTGTCTCCTTCTGTTCAGATGAAGGTGGCTGCAGGCAAGAAGCAGAGCCGTGCTGAGCCCTCCTGTTGTGGGAGGTGATGCTCAGCCCCACTCTGGCTCCTGAATCCAGAGGTTTGTAGGCTTCATCTTATTTAGCAACTTAATGATAATCAAATTAATATACAAAACAATAAAACAAAATCCAACTCTCTGAACTTTGTGGTAGATTTGCCTGGTGGAAGCTAGGCTGAAGATGCTGTTCCAGGAGTCTTCGGTCCTAATTTTTTTCCTTCCTCCCAGGACTTGTAGACTCTCAACCATGTGGTTGGGATGTGTTGTGTGCTTCATATAACAACTGCTGTACCTCTGCAGTTGACCTCTGTAGCAATAGGAGTTTCTGTTGCTGTCGTTCTTGGTGATGGAGTCAATTGACATGCTTGATCCTTTGGTCCATGTCACTTTCTACCTTCTGCCTCTTCATTAAAAGGTGGAAGCTGTTTCTTTGGCCTCTAAGACCCTCTCCTGTTGCTTTCCCAGGAACTGGCACCAATGCCTGCTACATGGAGGAGATGAGGAATGTGGAGCTGGTGGCCGGGGACAAAGGCAGGATGTGTGTCAATATGGAGTGGGGGGCCTTTGGGGACAACGACTGTTTGGAGGCGTTCTGGACAGAGTTTGACGCCATTGTGGACAAGAATTCCCTCAACCCTGGGAAGCAACGGTGGGTGAACTTGGGGAAGCTCTTCCTGGGCCTTTGTTTTCCTCCAGGTTTAGCAGGCACAGAGGAGTGTATGAGTAATGGGATCCACTATCCCTGATCTATCTGCACCCATCCTTGCTGGATTCCCACAACACGCCTATATTCTAATGAAATGGGATTGGTTCCACCTTTGGGGGAGACCCAGCCATTGTCAGAGCATGTTATGCAAACAGGGTCCTAGTCTAGACTATAATGTAGTTTATTTAGCTGGGCATTATTTGTTGTTGAGCAGTAATGAGGTTTCATTAACCCATGTTTAGCATGTGGGTTAGTTTCCCTGAGTGTTCACAACCTTATTCTCCCTCCCAACATTTCAGATTTGAGAAGATGATCAGTGGGATGTACCTGGGAGAAATTGTCCGCAATATCCTGATCGATTTCACCAAGCAAGGACTGCTCTTCCGTAGGAGAATCTCTGAACGGCTAAAGACCAAGGGGATCTTTAAAACCAAGTTCCTGTCTCAAATTGAGAGGTGAGATCAGGTCAGATCTGTGGGGCCAGAATCTCCACTGACCACAAGCAGAGAAGAGGGAGGCAGAAATGGCTGTCTGCATCTTCTCCTTCTTGGACCTTCCTTGGGCTCTCCTGGAAAGCCCAAATTCTTGTTTATTATGGGACAAGCAAAAAGATGGTTCATCTTCTTCCTTCAGAATGACGACTGCCTCCTAGTGGCCAGGTTTGCTTCCCCTTCTATAGCCTTTCCCAATCACCAGATAGCAAACATGCAAAAAGTACATATATAACCTCTCACAGACATACACAACACAGACATGCATTTGAAGAGCATTAATTGGATTATTTTCTGTGAAAAGAAGTCATTCACCAGGTAGAGGCCCATAGCAGTTCTTTGAAAGAAGGGCAGGTGAATCTGCAATAAAATATTCTGGGTTGCCGAGTTGCTGAACTTTCAGATTCATCATAAATGAACTGGGAAGTAACTGAAGATTGTTCTTATCTTAGTCGCCCCTTGGAATTTCCACTGGGCTCCATTTTAGATAGCGGTTCAGAACTTGTTTGCATCCCAGCCCTAATTGAAGCCAGGGCGAGAGAGGGTCCTTCTGAAGACAGCAGTTGTTTTGTGTCAGAATAATGATGGGGGCATTACCAGCCCCACCAAGTAGGCCAGAACAGGAAAACTCAAACCACTTTTATTGAGATGGACTATAATAACAGAATGCAAGTCTGATTGTGCTGGGCCATCTCCCCCTTCTTCCATTCCTGTGAATTAGGAAGGTGTTTGAGCCCCTTCCAAATGTTCTCTTGCTGAACTGGACTTAAAGTGTGTCCAGCCTCTTACCCAGGTGACAATTCCTGCATACAGTATCTCCATCAAGGTCATCGTCCTTACTTGCTACCTCAGGCCAGGCCCATTCCAGCAGAATGGACAAGACCCGCCTTTCCTCCCCACCCAATTCCTAAGCCTGTGTGCCCCATCTTGTGCCCCCAGTGATTGCCTGGCGCTGCTTCAGGTCCGGCACATCCTTCAGGACCTTGGTCTGAAGAGCACATGTGACGACAGCATCATTGTGAAGGAGGTGTGCACTGTGATCGCTCAACGTGCCGCTCAGCTGTGTGGGGCAGGAGTGGCCGCAGTGGTGGACAAGATCCGAGAGAATCGAGAGTTGGATTTCCTTAAGGTCACCGTCGGTGTGGATGGGACCCTCTACAAACTCCATCCTCAGTAGGTTTCTCTGCTTGGCCTGGGGAGAGGAGTTTTTGGGGCCCTAAAGCAGTGTTTCTCAAAACTTGGCATCTTTAAGATGCGTAGACCAATTTCCCAGCCAGCATTTGCTCAGTTCTGAGAATACTGGCTGGGGAATTCTGGGAGTTAAAGTCCACGCTTCTTAAAGTTGCCAAGGTTGAGCAATACTGACCTAAAATAACAACTGCATGAGATGGAAAGTAGAAAGGGGAGGGTAGAATAGATCTAGATGGCTTTCTGCTGACAAATTGGTCCCGGCGTCTTCTGCCATTTGCAAGGAGGCATCCTTCACATTTTTGCAAGCATGGTCCTGCACAATGTAGCCTGGTGTGTCATTCTGTAGCGTGATTGTACAGGATTTGCCGCAAGAAGAGGTGCAATCATTGGATCTCTATTTCCTTAAATATTTGAGAATAAATCTCTAAAGCAGTCCCAGAAATAATTTGTAGAAACTGTTAAAAACTGAGGATCGCTGGCATGTTTGTTGCAAGGCCAAGAAAGATAAAAGAAAGCGAAAAAGGCTCAAAGGCAGAGGGAAACGAGATGAGGGGGAGAGAAAAAAGTCAGATGACTGTAGTCCTGTTCCTTTCTGTTCTCTCTGCAGCTTTTCCAAGGTGATGCACGAAACCGTGAAGCAGCTTTCGCCCAAGTGTGAGGTGACCTTCCTTCAGTCCGAGGACGGCAGCGGGAAGGGGGCGGCCCTTATCACTGCGGTGGCATGTCGGATGCGGGATGCTGGCCAGCACTGAGAGGGCCCCCCGAACACCCAGGCCTGGCTGCTCCTCCCTCCCTGCCCAGTCTCCAGACCACTCTGGGCAGAATCCTTGTGTCTTCCCAACTTGTTCCTGGTGGACCCCATCCGGGCTGGGTCCTTTGCACATGGATAAGGAGCCTCCCTGTAGGATAGGGGCTTCTTCTTCCAGCTGATCTCTAATGGCTCTTCCGTGTCCTTCACCGTCTCTGATCACCCCATGGCCCTGTCACATCTGAAGCGCCTGGCCCTGAGCTAGGCCCAGACCAGAGCATAGCAGAAGCACACCCATTTCCACTAAAGGCAGTGAATCCACTTATATTACAAACATTTTTAGTAGGATAGCAAGTGTTGGCGTTAGGAGAGCAGGGATGTTCTGCAATCATGATTCCTGAGGTAAACTCCGGGGATTTGAGTGAGCCGACATCCCAGGAGGCCGAGAAGCTGCCTGCTCATCTCCCCTTGGAGAGGCTGCATTTCCATCCCGAGCTGGTGCGGCCAAGCGTCAGTGGCCTGCCTGCTCTTCTCTGCTGCAAACAAATCCCACCCCCACCAATCTGAAGGGTCCTTGCAAAGGACTGTTGTGACCCCCTCCGAGAGGGAGGGAGACTCTCCCTGGGCCTCTCCATTTCCCCCCACAACTTGAAAGCCAGCTTCTTGCTTCTCTAGCTAGAGAGACGTTGGGGAGGGGAGGGGGAAGGGCAGAGAGGAAGGTTTACAGCAGGTTTTCTGTCCAAAAATTCTTAAGAGGGGAGTACTTTAGAAATTACCCCTCTGCAAGTTGAAAACGGGGCTGGGGAGGAAAAGGCCCCTTTCCAAGACTGCTCCATGAAACCTGAAAATGAGAACACCAGGCGGAGATCCCATCATGCCGGCTAATTGTGCTCTGGGAGCACCTGAGCCGTTGCCAACCACAAGCCCCCTCCCCATCAGCTGCAGGAGAGGCCCTGGACATGGTCCCTGCGGTGCCGCTTTCTCAGCCAATCCAGTCAGTTTGCAGCCTCTCTCTGAATCTGCTTTCTTGAGTTCACCTCTGCCAGGTTTGGGGCTACACAGCACCCCCGGGTCCTTCTGTGGGGGGGATCCCCTTCACCACCTGTTTCTTGTGGAACCTCCAGTGGGTTTGATGGCAGACTCCCCTCTCGGCTTTCCACAGCCTCCTGCAAGTGACAAGCTCTCCTTCTAGTTCTGAGTCCAACGGGGGGGGGGGGAGGCTGCTTTCCTCATAGACCACGAGCGGGAAAGAGCCCCCCACCCAAGAGCTCCTTTTATGGCAGAAGGTCTGGTTCACAGGAGTCAGCCTTTGCCTGTGACGTCCACTGCATTTTGGTCAGTACATTTGGTCGTTTTGAAGAGAAATTATTTCCGCTATTTTTTTTTATCTCTGTGTGTATATATTTATATTTATAGCTTGGATAACTGAAACAGAAATGTTCAAGAAAATATTCCATTTAAAAATACACTTCCTATTCTTTTAAGCATTTAAAATGATTGACTATTTTAGGAAAGCTTCAATCTTGCAATAAAGAGGAACCACTCCAAACAGCCTGTGTGGAAAAGACCAAACGAACATTTGTGTTGGGACAAATATTAAGTTTTATCTACTTAAGGGCCTGCACGGATGGCCTGCCGCCGATTCCATCTGGTTTCACCATAGACACAAAGCAGTGGGGTGGGGGGATGTGCCACTGCCTCTGTGTCGAGGGGAAGCCAATGGGGGAGGGGGGAATCTGACCACGGTACCGGTATACCGGTTCCTTACCCAGCTTGTTCCGTGGCCTCATGGCAGTGGCATTGGGTGTGATGTGCATGGCAGCAAATGGCTGGTTTCAGCGCGATGTGGCCTTTTGCCACCAGCCTAGAACAGAGAAGGTAGAAGCATGGCTAACAGCAAAGCACATCCACCAACCATAAAAGGGATTTCAAACAACAAATTCATGGCACAGGCGATGGATATTATTGTGGTATGCAATACATGTTCCATGTATGTGCTTATGCCCAAAGAACACCCCAATTATACGTGCATTAAATGTAAACTATGTGAAATACTAGAGGAAAAAGGGATCTAGAGGCAACTCTAGCCAAACTCCAACCTACACAAGAAAACTCTATCCAAACCGAACCAAACAGTGAAAAAATAACTCCCAGAGGATCTGACCCTGCTGATAAACCCTTGGAGGAAGACAAATGGAGGAATGTCACACATAGAAGGAAACACAATACTCAAAGGAAGAAGCAGCAGACATCTAACAAACCCCTATTGCCCAATCTACCCAACCAGAAGCAGCCCCATTAAAACTGAGCAACCGATTTCTCCCTCTAGATGGAAATACACAGACCCACAACCTCCCCCTCAAAGAAAACATGCAGACACCTAGCAACACCAAATATCCCTAACAAAGTCACATCAACAAACAGAAAAGTATTAAATATCTTTAATTTCAAAGTGGTGTTCACCCTCAACCATGATTGGATGCCTACCTTCCTGCCTGCTGCCTACGGGGCTATTTTCTTGCAGCCCCCAAAAGCCTTTCTGGCCAACCGAAGAAGAATATAATCAAATGGCTAGTGCGGGGCCCAGTCTAATATAATTTTCAAGAACTTCTAGGATTGATTTGCATAGAGACATATATTTTTCACCCTGGAGGAATTTTCCCCATCTCTCTGAAGGAATCTGGTGGCAGCTTTTCAGACGTAACACGTTTTTAAAAAGCTGCAGTTCATCCCGTGTCCTGATGTAGCCCTTCTGAGCATCGGATGACGTGCGCTTTGGCTCCTGGCAGCTGATGCCTCCTTGTTGGTTGGGGAAGGTGCCACCGGACTCCTGATTTTGGACACCTGAGATCCAAACGGGTCTCCTCCTACAACTTCTTTCTCTTTCTCCCTCGGTGGCCCACGGCTGCCATCGGGGGCAGAGAGGGTGCTGGTCCTCAGCACCGCCAATTCCACAGTGCAAAGCAGAATCTGCTCTGCCGGCTGGAGCCGCGGGGGGGCATCTCTGGAGCCTGCCTACGTTGTGGGGGAATTCTGCACCCTCCTTTTGGTCATTTGATGCTGTGCATCAAAGAAGCTGAGCTGTATATTTGATGGTGCTTGTTTCTATGAGAGATTCTTCTCATATCCCCAGAGGCAGGCTCGGAATGGAACCCCTGCTAACAAGCATTCAATGTATCCTCAACATTTGACATGGATACAAAGCTTGAAAGAACGGCTCCCTTTCCCTCACCATTCTCCCCCCTCCCCTCCCTTCCCCTTCCCAAGCAGAGAAAACATCGACTCTGCTGAGTGGGAGTCTCACTTCCATACTGGCAAGCTCTGCTTTCAGAAGCTGCACCAGCAGATGAATGTCATTTCATGGCACAGCTTCTCAGGATATGATGAGCAGGACAGCTCCGGGGGCCCCAGTTTCTCCCACTTTGCATCTGAAGCAGCAATGACAGTCAAAATGCCACCTAGAGAACCCTTTCTTAGCTCAAAGGCGGCTTCTCAGAAGCGACAGATCCATATTTAGCTGCTGCCTCGTGTCACAGCAGCAAACGTGGCCTGAATATGGCTACCGTCTGGTGGATCAGTGAGAAAAGCAATTAACAGAATAACAGAATAGAGCTGGAAGGGACCTTGGAGGTCTTCTAGTCGAACCCCCTGCTCAAGCAGGAGACCCTATGCCACTTCAGAGAAGAGGCTGTCCAGTTTCTTCTTAAAAACCTCCAATGATGAGTCACCCACAACTTCTGTAGGTAATTTCTGTTCTACTGGTTAGTTGTTCTCACTGTCAGGAAATTTAGTTTAGTTTAGTTCTAGGCCGCTTCTCTCCTTGATTAGTTTCTATACATTGTTTCTTGCCTTCTGGTGTTCTCTTCTTTTGGCAGCCCCTCAAATACTGGAATACTGCTATCATGTCAGCCCTAGTCCTTCTTTTCATTAGACTAGCCATTCTCAATTCCTGCAACCGTTCTTCATGTTTTAGCTTCCAGGCCCCTCATCATCTTTGTTGCTCTTCTTTGCACTCTTTCCAGAGACTCAACATTTTTTTTATAACATGGTGACCAAAACTGGATGCAGTATTCTAAGTGTGGTCTTACTAAGGCTTTAGAAAGTGGTACTAATACTTCACGTGATTAAGGACTACACATCAAGTACACTTCAAAAGACTGACCAGTAGAAACTCAGTGCTCTGAAGGAGATGGGTAAGGCATCTTGTGTGGAACTTCCAAATTTGTGCAGGGTGCGAAATAATGGATTTGAGGGCGGAAGGGAAATCCCAACTGAATATCAGGGGATAAACCCCCTTTCTAGCAGTTCTCTCCTTCACTGGAGGTGCTCCAGCAGAAGCTGGAGAGTCGTGCATGAACTTGGATTCCTGAGCTGAAAAAGGGGTTGGACTGAATGGTCTCAAGGCTCCCTTCCAGTTTTAAGATTCTGGAAGTCTGTGTGAGATCCAGGTCCAGATCCAAGCACCATTCCACGATATAAAGGAATATCTTTTTAACAAGGACTTTCATCTTCCGGAACACATCCAGAAAAGGATGCTAAGAATAACAAAAAGGCTGCAGGGAATTTCTGACATAACGGATAACACTGTTGTATCTTCCTTGGCAGTGAGTAACTCCAGGTGATATTGTTCTACGACTCTTGGCAACTGTTTCTTTAATGTTCTTTTTTATGGATATTTTATTGTACTTTCTATTATTAAAAAGATACTTTAATGTTGTACACCACCTGGAGTTCTTTCACAAGACAGATGGCACATTGTTATTTTAAATAAGTAATAACATAATAAATTAGTGGGAGAGCAGATAAGACTCACCAAATAGCTCAAGAGATGCAATGTAGAATCAGAATCAAGCTGGAAGGGACCTTGGAGGTCTTCTAGTCCAACCCCCTGCCCAAGCAGGAGATCCTATACCCTTTCAAATAGGTGACTGACTGTCTAGTCTCTTCTTAAAAACCTCCAGGGATGGAGTGCCCACGATTTCTGGAGGCCAGCTGTTCCACTGGTTAATCGCCCTCACTGCTAGAAAGTTTCTCCTTAATTCCAGCT